CTCGAGTACACTAGGCTACGGCTGCTTCTACCTGTCGCAGTAGTAGACTCCGAGCTAGCTGTAGCAGCTGACACACCACCAATGGAAGATGAAGAGAGTGTCGAAGGACGGGGATAGACCCTGCAAGATTCCTCGGGCGAAGTGGTGTATTTGCTAGTACGGTAGTCACCAACAGCAGTACAAGTCGTTGGTGACACTCTAATTGTTGAAGTCACCACTCCGCGATCAGGACCATTATCAGCCTTCTGTCTCTCATCACACACTGGAGGGATTTGAAGCAGCGACCCTTGTTGTTGCAGTTGCTGAGGTTTCTCCTCCGAAATCACGCCTTGTTCTTGTTCATGTTCCATCGCGGCCACTTTCTGGGCTAAGGCCTTAGAACGCTTCTTCTTAGAAGGTCTTTGACGAGACTTCTCCTTCCGGTTACGACGCCTTTGCTCATCAGCCGGTATAGCACAAGCACTATGGTGACACCTATCACAGGCAGCTCCTTCTCGACACCCTCTGCTGGAGTAGGCGAACCAGCAACCACGGCCACAGTTTAAGGTAGTACACGAACCGACAGACAGTTCACCAAGGATAGTATCATGGGCCACGGCCTCAGCGTAGGAAGCGGGCGACAACGGCTCCCCAACAGGATGACTTTTACGAGGGGTAGAAGAGACATCGTCGGATGGTAACCGAAGGCTCGTTGTTTTGGCTGCATCTGCCGATTGTGGGAGTTGTTCCAGAGACCCCGCGGATTGCATAGGATCAATCTCGGCACGCAAGGACATGAGGGGATGCGCTTTTAGTTAGATATGGGTATAAGCAACTGAAAACAGGAGATGAATTAAATATGAGTGATTCAAGCGAGGCAGGCGGCGCGGTGGCCGAACTAGATGCATTCGAGAATTCTGCTAGCGTTAAAAGCTAAAGTGGCTTCAATGCTCCTTTCGAACGAAAACCCTTATTCAGATTAGTCAGCCCCTCGTACGATCTAGTGTTGGTTACTGATAGCTTGTCGGCGAGCTGAAGGATAAAATGACCCTCCTCCAGCAAGGAACGTCGATTGCCAAGTCATCAGCGTTCGACTGCCACGCCCGCCCGACCTGTTTCGTATCTTTCACGCTTAACCTCAAGATTCACTCTTCTCACCCCAACAGTCTACAATAAACTTCTAAGCCCCTCCCAATATCCCTTCTTCTACCATAGTCACTCTACACGACGTAAGGTCTACCGACTCCTCTCCAGTGCCACCCTCGAGTGGACGACGACGACCGAATAGGCGGAGCGAAGGTCATCCGCGCAACATTTTCGGGGGTTTTGCGTTCGCGTGCATCATTTCGATCATCGTTGCTATTTTTTCCCAAGTCAATTTGATTTGTGACGACTTTCCCGACATCTCCTACCAACGTTGTTTAGGATAGTCGTGAACACAATTCACATTCACCTTCGCTCAGCAGGTCAGCCACTAAGCGGTGCATCTATTCTCGGTGATATAAATAGGTCCTTCGGGGTAGCAGA